ACACCTATCATGGAACACCTAACAACCTAGAAGCACCATCTTAAAATCCTTTAGAAGAAAAGCCTTTTGTAAAGTTTTTATGAATAAGTCCACAAATATTTGCCATACTTTTCCAAATAGTTATTTTTTTCTTTAAGCCTAGAAATTTACTTTAAGACATATGAAAGATACCAGGATGACATGGTGCTTGGGGACATTAGAAAACATGTATGATATGTTAACCCAGGTTCCATAAAGTGTAAGTCACTCCCCTTAAGACAGGATTATAGGAGGAAAGAGTTGGGATTTTGGCCATACAGAAGTCCACCAGCCCCTCATCTGCTGACTTCAGGCCTCTCATTTGCAAATGTTAGGGGGGACCCATCTAGACACAGGATCAATGTTAAATTCAGAGTTGGGTGTGGCCAAGAATTTCCCCAGGCTTCAGAGGCTTTCTTGCTTTTATCCTGTTCCAGGGGTAGGCATCTTTTGGTGTGTTTGAGTGGTTGGTACCCTTTAAAAGTATTTATTCAGGCAGAAAGGTGAACTTAATAGTAAACAGGTATGATCACTGCTCTATCATTCAATAATGGATGCCAGCAGATCCATATTAACATTCCTACATATCCAGCTACCTCCTTAAGACTGAGGGAAATCATGCCAGCTCCCACTGCTGATGCCCCACCCCCAAGCTCTCTTTACCTTACCATCCCAGCAATCTTAAGTCTGGTCAGTCCCTGAACAACCCAGTCACTGTCCTTGACAAGCCCAGGAGGTCTCTTCCAGGAAGTGATCTGAGTTTCACCAGGAAGTGATCCCAGAAAAAACACAGCCCCAGTGTTAGGAAAGACTTCACACTCCTGCAGACGGAGAATAAGGGGAGGGAGCTCAAAGTCTCAGCCAACCTTTCTTCTTAGGAAGAGCCACAAATGGGCTTGATAAGGTTTCACATATGTGTATTCAAATATACGTAGCTCTCACACTGGCTGAGAGCCAGTCATGTAAGCAGCCGATAATTCCAAGTCTCCAGAGCCATACCACATCAGGGTTCTTCTCTTTCATGCTGCCTGATTTAATTAAGGGCAAGATAGAAGAATATCATTTTAATAAAATGTGTATTAGAAATGCAGGAATATACAATATCATTTTTTTCTGGGCGCTTACGTCCTTTGCACTACATACAGTCAGATCCCTTTACCGACTTCCATGGAAAAGTTGGTTGTTATATTGTGGGGCTCAAAAACTGCTGATTTGGGAAAACACACTCACATACACAACATTACTTGCTTTGTGGCTGACCTTACAGAATTCTCTCTCTAAGGATGCCTTCTCAAGACCTGACCCCCCAAATGGGAGAGGGGTCAACAAGCCCTAGTGTTGTCTATCCCTAAATAGAGAAAGCCTTTCAAAACAACATGGAAATTATCACACTTAACATATCACACTTACAAGTACTTCACAAGCTCTGTTTTCTATTTCTTCACTCTCCTTTTGACACACAAAGAGAAAATGAAGCAGGATTTTGAAAACTGTATTATATGGGTGTATTCTTGGTTTATAAGCAATATTCCATATGGCCTCTATTCTTTGGAGATTAAGAAGGGCAAACAAATAGAAATCTGATTGATTTAACTTGAATCATTTGGAAAGGTTTCACACTCTTTCCCACTGCACTCCTAAAATAACCAAGAAAATACAGAACTACCACAATCATACAAGTACTGGTGAATATACAGTGGCTCAGAACTGCCTTCCTGTTATACAACCTTTGTTGGACCAAATATCACCTCTGCCTCCTCTCATACCCTGCATCCCCAGTCACATCTTCCAGGGCAGAAAATGTATTTTGGAGCTTTGAGTCTCAATGCTTGGTCCTAGCAGAAAATCCAAGGAGGAAATCCCAAGTGTTTTCTGATGGTAAGAGTTTGCAAAGTTGGTTATTTTAGAGCTAGGCAAAGATGAGTAATAAATCTTCCTCCTGGTTAAAAGTGATCATTTTTCTGATGTTTGGAGCTCAGGAATATTTCATTTGACCAGGTCAAATTTTGCACATGCCCTGTCTGTGCTGTAGATAAAGCTCCTGGGGAACATGGAATGAGTCCATTTCTCCCACCATGGTAAGGTCTTCCAGCACCCCCTCCCCTATGCAGAAGAGATAGGAACATGCCACATTTCTGCATGGCTTGAGTCCCATAAACTTTGAGAACTCAGTCCTATGGTTCAGATGCAGATGATATCAGACAAAAAGCATAGCTGGCATCCTTGACTTACTTGGTTGAACTTACATTATTATTTCCTGGTTTGCTAGAAATTTATACTCAGTTAAATTCCCTTTCTGACATTTAGAAAAAGAAAACCTCAAAGAGTTACAGAAAACTCTTCCTCTATTACTAATTAAACAAGAGATTAAACCCAGTCAAAGTCAGGAAGTCATACTTGCACACTATCCATAGAGAACAGCTGTCAGTAGCACCAAGGGTCTTAGGACATATTGGAGTTGGGCTAGTTAAAGCTTCAACCACCGCAAGGAAAATAAAAAATGGCTTTGCCTCAAGAGAGTATAGGGGTGGTATAAAAGGAGACTTGGAAACCAGAGTTCTGAGTACTAGACTCAGCTACGAAACAACCTAACTGGGTGACCTCATTGCAAGTCACTAAACTCTAGATTTAAGAGCCTCTGTGTACTAACAAGAGATTTTAATGAGATAATCCCTTCTAACCTTAAAAATCTGTCCTTTTCCTGCCTTCATAAAGTCTTGAAATTTAATTCCTCCATGTACGTTTGTAGAGTTTTCTTTCCCAAAACATACTGTTCATGAGTATAAAACGTGTCTTTTATAGTATAAACCACTTACTTTTGGTCTTCAAATTCTAATGAGTCTACATATACGTTTTGGAAACAACACATATATGATCTGTAAACGCCTTGCCGTTGGACAGGCAAATGAGAGCATACGAGGATGAGGTCTTCAGAAAAACACTTTTATGGTTAAACATGTTGTGCTCTTAAAAAGAAACTTGCATATTTTTTCTCCTAGTTACTTTAGCAAATCGAATGCAGCTGTAAGATCAATTCTCCTTCCCTGTAATCTGTTCTTTAGAAAACAATGATTGTGTGATACAATTTCCTTACAGGTTTGTCCAAAAACCTCTCTGACATAATAATTGAGTTTAAATTTAGTTTATGGCCACAGAAGGATCATGTTTCACCTAAAGAGTCAGGCATTTCTTTTCATGCTGCAGTTTCCAATGGGGAAAGTCATTTGTTGGGGAGAGCATGAACCACTTGCAACCTTCTTACAAACACAAGGGGGAGGAAACAAGACAAGTTAATTGAGTCCTGCTAAGAGAAAGAGTTTTTGAAAAGATGGCTGATCTGAAACAAAGTGGCTGGCAAATGCTTTGAGGCTTTAGAAATGGAGCCACCTGCTGCCGCGGCTCCCAACCTCCTACCTGTAGGCCCTGACAGCCTCATTAGCTCTAGGAAGCTCTCCCCCCTCCCACAGGCTAAGTCACACAAATGGGGTAGAATGGGTGAGGACACGTCCAACCTGGAACTGTACTCCCTCACTGTATGGTATGATTTCTTTCTGCCCTCTCTTGTCTTCCTAGCCTTGAAAATAAAAGTGAAGGAGATAACCTACATCAACAGAGATACCAAAATCATCCTGGAAACCAAGAGCAAGACCATTTACAAGCTGAACGGGGTGTCTGAACGGGACCTGAAGAAATCGGTGCTGTGGCTCAAAGACAGCTTGCAGTGCACCTGTGAGGAGATGAACGACATCAATGCACCCTATCTGGTGATGGGACAGAAGCAGGGCGGGGAGCTGGTGATCACCTCGGTGAAGCGGTGGCAGAAGGGGCAGAGAGAGTTCAAGCGAATCTCCCGCAGCATCCGCAAGCTGCAGTGCTAGTTCTGGCGCCGGGATGGATGGCGCCCCGACAGGCCAGCCCCAGAGCTGGCTGACGATTCCCAAGCACAGTCCAGGCTGCTGGCCACCCCGTCCCCAGCCTGGAGCGGCTCCCCCTGCCTTTTGCACGTTTGCATCCCCAGCACTTCCTGAGTTATAAGGCCTTAGGAGGCCTCAGGAACGGATAGCTGTTTTCACATAAAGGAAAAACCCACCCAAATCTTGTAGAAATGTTCAAACTAGTAAAATCATGAATATTTGTATGAAAATTTAAAATAGCTCACTTTAAAGCTAGTTTTGAATAGGTGCAACTGTGACTTGAGTCTGCGTTTTGCTTTTTCTGTTTGTCAGCTGATGTTCACTTCCCACTGAGGTTGTGTAACGTGCACATTGCTACGTCTTTCTCTGTGGCCCAAACTTGTGGGTCCCAAACCCAGTTGAGATAAAGCTGGCTGTTATCTCAACACCTTCCTCTGCTCCAGCCTGAGACTCTGTTGGAGTCTTGTTAACACTTGGTCATTTTACACCCTCCTGGGAACTGAAGCTGTTGCATATTACCACTTTCCAGCTACCACACTTCCATTTATAAAAAGCACACTGACCATGCCTCGTGGCATGACATCCTCAAATAAAGGGCAACACAAATACATTTTATAATTGAACTGAGTATTTTAAGCCTTGTTTAAAACATTTTTGCTTAATTTTTGCAAATTAAACCATTGTAGCTTACCTGTAATATACATAGTAGTTTACCTTAAAAAGTTGTAAAAATATTGCTTTAACCAACACTGTAAATATTTCAGATAAACATTATATTCTTGTATATAAACTTTACATCCTGTTTTACCTATTCTTGTCTTCTGTCTTGTCTTAGAAGGATGTGGGGAGGGAGCTATGAAGGAAGCCCCGCCACCCAGTAGTTTGAAGTTACCTGCTTCTCCAGTGTCTCAGAAAGTATCTCCCCACACTCTCCCGCCTCACCTGGTCCCTGATCTATAGACTTCACCACAGTCGACTCTGCCAGAAGCAGAGATACTTTGCAGGCTCTGGAAAGGGATGGCCTTTCTTCCCTACCCCGCTTCTCAGCAGTTGAGCTATAGCTACGTGGCAATACTACTCAAGTTCATGAGCTTTGCAGGGTGCTTTTCATTTCCTAAAATTTTCATAATGAAAAACAGTAACCATTGCAAAAATGTTCAGTCTTTCCCTGCCTGAACTCTACCCTCAGATAAAGAGAGCCGTGATGTGGAGAGTATGCATTGGTAGGCAGAGAGAGTGAAAAGGGGATGGGAAACTACTAGCACGCAGATGAGAAGGGGGACACACAGACATCCATCCATCCATCAAACATCTGAGTCCTTTCGGGCTTCTGTAACAAGATACTTCAGATTAGGTAATAAATAAAACAGCAGAAATTTATTTCTCACAGTTCTGGAGCCTCAGAGGTCAAAGGTACCAGCAGGTGGCATGTGATGAGGGTTCTGCTTCAGAGATGAAGCCTTCTTGCTGTGCCCTCGGGCCTCTTCTATCAGAGACACTAATCCCAATCATGAAGGCCCTGGCCTCATGGCTTACTCACCCTCCCTGCCAAAGCCCACCTCTTCATACCAACACACTAGGGATTAGATTTTAACACATGCATTTTGGAGGACTAGAAACATTCAGACTATAGCAATGTCCATCCAAGTATTTCAATACTGCATTATTGAACCACCACAGAAATTCTAATAGACACATAAGAAAATTGAGGCTCTTAAAGGTTGAGAAGCACAACTCATAGAGGCAAAGTCAGGGCTGAAACTCAGCCCCATCAGACAACAAATTCTGCCTCCTATTCAACCTGTGAGTGGATCACAGACGTGATGGCACACGTCCACTCCAAGATGTTAGTATTTACTGAGCATCCATGATGTGTCAGGCACTGTTCTGAGTGCTGGGGCTACAGACCTGAGTCCTCATTCTTATGGAGCTTACAATAGGGAGTGGCAGAAAATAAATAACCACGATGCTTAGGTTATACGGGGTAAGATGAGAAAGTGCAGGCAATGAGTGAGAGCAGCAGTTTCTCCCAACAAAGACGAAATTCTGAGCAATGTGAAGCCTTTATCTGGTGGCATTTTATCAATTTAGTTAAAAAATTTCCTAAACATACATTCACATTCATCTCTCCAACATTTCACGTTTTTCTGGCACCAAACGTTAATATAGTCCACTGCCAAGCAAAAATCAGTATTTTGAGATGGCCAGTCTGCCATTTTTCCCCCTTTGCTGACCAAGTAATAAATTTCCCTTTCCTCCTTCTTAAAAACCACTTGTTCTTGTTTTTTCTGATGCAGCCTCAAGAACAAGTACCGAACTTTTGGTAACAGATGGCGTTCCCTGGGTGGGCTCACTGGCTTCCCAGTAGAATAGTATCTGCTAAAGAAGCTGGGACCAGCCAGGTCAGCACCTCTGCCTTCGGGGTGACAGAGTATGGGACCGTCTCAGCACCTGACAGGGCCTGTGTACCTGTGGGGAACTCCAGTCTCTGTCTCCCTGAAGTAGATGTAGCTCCCCACAACCTGAACTGAGTTGAGAGAAGGAAACGAACTTGGAAAGGGTCCACACACTAGGCCATTTTTAAATATAAGGGTACATGCAATTAGGTTACAATGTTTGTTTGCATTTGTTAGGTAGAGTCCCTGTTGCAGTTGTGTCTCTCATCCAGAAAGTGTGCCACATACCCTTACATTGTGCCCATTAGGTGGCTCCTCTCCTCTCTTCCCCTGCCCCCAACTTGAATTAAATTGAGTTTTCCTCCCCTGTAAGTGTGTATTAGTTCGTCTACTGGCTTCATATTAGTATTGAGTACATTGGATGCTTGCTTTTCCATTCTTGTGATACTTTACTAAAGAATATGTTCTCCAACTGTGATCAAAAAATATAGTCTCAGGCAGCACCTGTGGCTCAGTGAGTAGGGCACCGGCTCTAGATACCAAGGGTGGTGGGTTCAAACCCATCCCTGGTCAAATTGCAACAAAAAAATAGCTGAGCATTTTGGCAAGTGCCTGTAGTCCCAGCTACTACAGAGGTTGAGGCAAGAGAATTGCCTAAGCCCAAGAGCTAGAGGTTGCTGTGAGCTGTGACACTATAGCACTCTCCAAGGGTGACAAAGTGAGACTCTGTTTCTTAAAAAAAAAAAAAAAGGTAAAGTTTCCATCTTTTTAGGGCTGAAGGGTATTCCACAGTGTACATATACCACAGTTTATTAATAAATTCATGGGTTGATGGGTTGTTTCCACATTTTTGCAATTGTAAATTCAGCTGCAATAAACAATCTAGTACAATTGTCCTTGAGATAAAACAATTTTTTTACTTCTGGGTAGATGGCTAGTAACACCAGGCCTTTTGTTGGGTAAGTTCCCCAGCGTGCAGGCTGAGATGCTGATTCTACCCATATGGGGTTTTCAGATCTTCCTGTTGGTTCTGTTTGTTTTAAGGTACCTTTTGGGGAGTAGAAGTCATGCAGTTGAGTGGATCTAGGGAATCTGGTTTGAACTTGGAGCTAGTTCCCAGGGACAGGAGGGTTAAGGGGGGGACTAGGCCACCATTTAGGAAGGTTTTACCTTCTAGCCCATTTAACATTTGCAGGGTTTTTGGGGGGTGATGGGTTTTGGCCGTGGCTGGGTTTGAACCCACCACCTCCGATATGTGAGTCCGGCACCCTACTCCTTTGAGCCACAGGCACCACCCCATGTTAAACATTTGAAACAAGAGATTAGGAACCCTAGAAAAGGCAGGAATAAAAAGTTAAAGAAGATAAAAAAGGAAAAACAATAAACCAAAGATTCAGGCATCAGAAGGGATAAATATGTATACATATCTCAAAACTAATGGAAAGAAATAATCTGGAAGAAACTGGCCCATCTAAATAATCCCTTTTCATTCAAGCCAAAAGTCACATGCTCATACATGCTCATTATTTGCATAATGAGATGCAAAACTTTGGCCCTGAGCCGCTAATGGGACGCACGCCTCCCTCAGCCATGTTTTGAGATCACATGTCGCAGAACAACAGGGATGTGTTCTGAGAAATGTGATGTCTCTTGATTTCATCACAGTACAGACATCCTAGAGCATACTTATGCAGAGCTGTACACACCTGGACAGCACATCACTGCCTGAATACTATAGGCCAGTGTTTTTTAAATTTTTTTATCTCACTGCACACTTGAACCTACAGTTAAACTTCTGCAGCACACTCAAATTATGTTGTTCAAAAAAGAGTAAAATATATATATATGCTTACTGTGCTTTGAACTTCTTTCAAAAATAATTTAATTAATCATCTTTAATTCTTTTTTGCAACATATCCAAAATCCTCTCACAGCACACCAAGGTCTGTTACTGTCTTTGATGACAGCACAAGCCAATGACATACGAGTATAGCAGGGCAGATAAGTTTTCGTTTTGTTTTGCATTTAGTTTTATTGTTTTCTTTGAATAATGGTTCAAATATATGAGGTCTGATAACTAAGCTCATGGACTCATCCTAGAAAAAGCACTACATGCCTCACCACTGAATATCACTATGGCCACCTTCAAAGTACTCCCCTTGGGAAGCTGTGCACTAACACCAGCTCCCAGTCCACCCTTCAAAGCAATTTTGGAACTTTTTCTGGAATGCCACCACAGTTGTCCTTCAATTACACTTGATGTCTTAAATGTCATTAAAATGGCTCGGCACCTATAGCTCAACCGGCTAAGGCGCCAGCCACGTACACCTAAGGTGGCGGGTTC